AGCCCCGGCGTCCTGGTGGGCAACTGTGGGAACAAAAGAGGCTGAAAACAGGATTAGTGTCACTGGGACCAAAGCCAGAACAGATTGATATTTATTACGTCTGGTACAGTTTATGTTCACCTATTGAAAATATAGCAGTCCATCCAGAATTCACGCTGTATTGATGCTCTAAGTTAATAATCCTGGTTCCACTATTGATCCTGCATCTTATTCACATGACCGATCATATGGGAAAACCTGGCAAGCTCAGTTTTTGTCAAGTATGTCATAATTAATTCCCTTTGTGATGCTAAATAGGTATTTGTGTTTATCCTGGTATACCTGATACTTGAATCGATTATTGAAGTGCATGTTGTGCCTATTTGGCTTGTATGGACTTTTCTACCATGGTGTTTTGCTTGTTCCATCCTAAATGTATTCAAAAGCTATTGAAAATGTGGACAATTGAATCATTTTTAAAGACGATATCCCACTTATTGTGTACACTTTTACATGTTAATACAACTGCTGTAGCTGGAAGGTCCCACATTAAATCTTATTAACCAAAATTGTAGATGCATAGAAAAATGTATAATTTTCACAATGTGCAATGAATAGGTCTTGCATGGTTTAATTAAATGCACGTTTGGTGAAGGTGATCTCTGAGACAAAGCTGCCAACATTTTAAATTGGGACTTTGTTGCCATGGAGACACCATTTACAAGGCTCCCAGTCACAAAATGGAAGAAACCACAGCTCCTAATAGGCAGTTTTATTCATGGTTTTACCGCCGGCTTTGTGTCATCAATACAGCATTATCTTACCTATTATCTTTGACTTAACATATTGATTGGTTTACTACTATTTCAGGATTTCTGAGTCATTATTCACTGGTTGCCAAAAACAAAACATGTGTTCACAGCCTGCAGTGATTTGCATTTTGATCTGGCATCAGGTGGTATGCCAACAGCACTGGTCCTTCCAATCTTTCTGGAATCACTGCAAAGAGTAAAAACTGATTTATGACCCGTTGTAGCCCGGTCCCTTATCTGACTAAGTGCCATGCTCCATGTTATTGAATATGTTTTCAGATAACTTACTCCCGTTCCATGCATCATACCTCTGAAACTAGAATCCACATCTGGGGAAATAAATCAATATTTGGTATTCGTTTCCATAGCGACTGAATGGAATTCCCTAATGTGGTGTCGTCTTTTTTGGTAAATGGCTCCACATCCAAACGATAAGCAGGAGTAGTTTATGTGTATTTCAGTGTTAAATAATAGTTTTTACTACTGTTATTTAGTAGTTATTCCTGAGGTTTTTACAACTAAATGTTGAAATATGATTCACCGGAACACAATAAAAGTATAAGTAGATTAAAATTATTTTTTGACATTCATATATGATACTATATGATTCTCTAACTATGCTGCAACTTTGTAATTTGTAATATAATGTTTTCCAGTCAATATTCCGGTAAATGATTGTGATAATTGATTACAAATATATTTGTGGGTTAACTCGTCACATTTTGTCCACTTTAGGCGACCCGTAGCTCTAATTTACTTTTTTTTCTCTCTATTAGGACATGCCCAGACATGCCCAGTCTGAATGGAGAGAATATGGCGAAACAACATTGTAAATAAAATAGTCTACTCACTGTGTATAAAGTAGACATTTTCAGACATTTTATGAATATTTCTTTATGCATGCCTTTATATCTATTTTTCCCTTTTATAACTTGTTTGCACCACAGGCCAAAGCAAATTCCTAGTTTGTGACTTCCTAATATTACAATGGCAATAAAACAATCCTGCTTCTGTCTCCTCACAATTTCCAGCCAACTCCCTATCTACTGTTTCTCAGAAAAAATCTTTAAAAATCCCAATAAATATTAGCTGTTTGAGAAAATATTTATCCATCGACTGATTAAATCAATGAAGCAGCCCCTAATCATGTGTTTTATTGCCCGCTAATGTTGTGTATGAATCTCCACTTGAACCCTATGCCACTTTTCCCACCACTAGTAATGACCTTCATTAATGTGTAATCGCTCAAGCTTAACAACGGCCCTTTCTCCCTGCCATGTTTTATTTTTGGATCAATAAGTCTCCTACCCCTATAAATGCAGATTTGGTGTTGGCCCCTGGGTCACACCGTCCAGCCATCGCTTTCACTCAGGCCTGCAAGTTAAGCCACATTTACTACACTATCCTATTTGTCTCATTGTATACCGCCCGGTGATTTCTGCCCTATCTATGTGTCTAGAGTAAACAAAGAGCTTCGGGGGGGGGGGGGGTGTTTTACCCCACTTTTATCAGCTTAGGCCAACACCAATCAGACAGACCTGTTTATGCATGTTGTCCTGTTTGTCTAATAGCTTTGCTGACCCCTCCCTTCTCCTATTTGTGTTATTTGTCCCATCAGGCAGTGTCACCCAAAGAGGTTTATGTTTTGGGGGGGCAGAGGTGTGGGTGGAAGTAGATTACAGTGTCTTGTTTGTGTGATGAGGGTTATCCACTGGCCTGGCTGTAACATGTTATGTCTGAGTCAGGACTTGGGGCTCGTCAGCTGTCCAGACCATACAGCGGCTGTTAAGGCTTGGGTTTACTTAGCACAGGTGCATTGTGGGAAACATATATATAGTGAGACAAGTGGCACCGTGGAGAATGGGAGGCGTGGTTGTAAATCAGAAGCCCTTCACTGTAGTGAGAAGGCCAATGTTCATTAACTCTCAAAGCCCCTAAGTGCTTCAGAGATGATGTATGCTTCAGTTGCGGTGGGAACTGGCCATACATTAACTAAAATGTGTCCAGATCATCGTACAATTGCTCTCTAGCAGTCTATATTTTCCACTAATGGTTAATATATTTATAGAAAAATCGTAAAATTGTCTAATATACAGTAATGCGAAAGTCTTGGGCAATTAAACATGTGAAGCATACGTTTTTGATAAATGAACAACTCTACAAGCTGTTACCGAGAACCAATGGAAATTACTATTCAATAATCAACGTTTTTGAATACACATTTTTGGATTGACCAAGTGATTCTAAACCAAAGTTTTTGGGGTTTCTATTTAACTAGTGTAAATGTTTTAGGGAGTTTATTATTTTCTGTATCACAATTTTCTTAATGATAAAAACATAGTGTAAATAATCAGATCAAAATCTAATAAATGTTTGGAGAATTGACCAATTTGACTTTCTAAATCTTGCATGAATGAACCCAGACAGTGAGCACTTAAAGAATCAGACAGAGGCATCATGAATTCATTATAAATATTTAAAATACTTTATACAGCTTAGAAATTTCTTGTCACTCGAAACAAAACCATCATTACAAAATCTTACAAAAAGACCCTCCCCTTTTCCCTCCAAGTCCATATCAATCTCAAAATCATCAAGAAAAAAGGTACAAAGACGTGATTTTTCCAAAAGGTGACGAAACAGTTTGTCAAACATTGCATGCAACTTTTTGATGGGAAGAGATCTTTAACAGTGATTCAGCCGAGTGAAGCCAGTGGAAGCCTTGTTATGAAGTCCAATAGTAGTTTTACAGTGACTAAAAACTGCTCCATGTCTTTTTTTTAACTTCAAAAAGATCTCTCCAAACAGCACAGCGCAAGTGATAGAAGAACACAGTAGTCGAATCTTATGTACAATCACATATTTCACATTGCGCCCCCGTGAAAGGGCACTTAATCAAATACTTGCATTAAACACTATTGCACAGACTACATCTTTAAGACAAAAACGGAGTGATTCTTTTCCCATGACGTTCATTACCTACAGCATTAGACGAGGTTGCTCTGTTTCATAAGGCTTTGTTACATTTTTTGACGTTTTTTTATTTTTATCTTGGAAAAAAACTGGCCAAGAAAAAGGACAGCGAACCATTCTCTATAGTCTTGCAAGAGGTGCTTTAATGCTATAAAAAAGCCATAGCTGTGATTGAACAGTGTTAAAAGTTGGAGTTTGAACGGTACAAAAGGTGAACGAAAACGTTGCTACCTATCTGCTGTCTTACCCTAAGGGCTCTACTGTGACACGGTGCAAAAATGACATACCGATTGCTTTCGTTTTGGACGTTTTTTGAAGAATGCTGTGAGGTAAGATGTTCAAAAAAACACTTATTATAGTACAGGTTTTGGTTTCAACAATAGTGCAGTGCCGGTCAGCCTTAAGAAGAGGGTGCAGGCTGCCCGTTTATCAATGGATATAGTAATTCTCACATAGACGATAATAAACACTAGAACACATTGTGGGGCAGGGGACATGTTGGGCTCTTTTAGCTGGTGTGAATCAGTAGACGGTTTCAATTAGTAACCAGTTATTACAACATTACATAAGAGACAGATCTTCTAAATCTATAATACAGTGTTCTTATGACGAGTGGAAGCGACTGTGTGCACACCTTGGATAACAACACGTCCCGTCTGGATCTGGGACGCGGTCAATTGGTTGCTTAGGGATCAGTTCTAAATCTCCCATCCTCTGTGTCACCACATATTGTTACATAATGACAACAATGACAAAACTCAGATGATGACTGGGGCTGCACAATGTATGGACAATTTATGTTATGGCAATATCAGGTTATTGCATTGAGTATTGCAATTCAGTTATGGCTTTCATTTGAACCGACATGTACTCTGTCAAGTTTACTAAATACATCTATACTTCTACAATTGAGACTTTTTCATATTATTAGCTACAGTAAAAGCAACAATTGGCAGTGTTACTCATTGGGCTCTCAAATCCAGGGACTATAATTTTCTTTCTAATGATTGTATATTATTGTAAGATTTTCCACGATTCTTAACATACAGTTTTTACCATGCCGTGCAGCCCCTCATTTAAAATCGCTTTCAACAGATAAAAAAAATTGACAAAAGTGGCTCAGTAGCAAACAAAATTCACAGTTCAAACTAAGGCCGCTCTGGAAGACCCCTCCATAACGTTTGTACATTTTGAGAGGTCCCGTTCTGTCTTTGTCATTTCCCTGTATTGCCGCCATCAGCAAAGGGTTTTGAGTGCACCGGAAGCACAGAGCAGCGTCTGCATGGGATAGGGAGGCGGAGACACCACTTCCTCTACGACTTGTTCGGGACGAAAGGAAAAGGGCTGTAACGGCACTTTCTTCTTTAAAATCTGTCCTATTCCCATGGAGGGGAACTTGCTGCGGTGCGTGGGGCTCTCCGGGTCACTGTTGCTGCTGTTGTTTGCAGACGGATGGCTAAAAGCGGAGTGGGGGTTGAGGGGGTGGAAGGCAGACTTTGGCGGGCTGAATGCCGAACCTCCAGGTGGGCTACCGATGGTGCTCGGGGGGCTACCGCTCGTATCAGAACCCCCACACCAGTCCGTGGAGTTGCTCTTTTTGGGCTGCGGGTTGCTGATCTGAACAGGGACACTCGGGATGGTCGCTTTCTTGAGATAGGAAGAGTCCGCCTGGAACGCAGAGACGCCTCCTTTCTTTAAATAGGAGGAGTCCGGTTGGAAAGCAGAGACATGACGCGGCGGTGATAGTGTCCCGTTGATGAGTTTGTACCAAGGCGCCGGTTCGTTGTTTTCAATCTGTTCGGCTTTGGACAGAGACCCAAAGGAGTGCATGCCGATGGGCGACGGAGCCGGCGGCGCGGGGATGTTGTGTTCGGGACTGGTGTTGACGGGAGGAAGAGTGGCCAGACGCCTTCGCTGCTGCGGTTCGTTGGGGAAGAGCGGATGGATCTCCATGTATTCCATAGAAGAGGAGGCCACAGTACCAGGAGGGGCAAGGGGGGAGTTACGATGTCCACCAGTTATAGCCCTTAAAAGCCCTGAGGGTAGAAGTGAAGAGGTTAATTCTACACTCAAAAACGGTTTTACATAAGTCTCACAATACAGTTCAGTCACAGGAATGTGACTTCAGGATGTTTGACAGTTATACCATATGACATGTATACGTTAGGAAATACAATGATTTATTTCCTGACACATATTTCAAAGAGGTTATATGTAGTTTGCAATACTGGGTAAATAAAGTCATTGCTATTCCACTGTGTCTTGCTGCCTGTGACACACATGTAGCTCCTAAGCGCCGTTCTTTTCTTTATTATTTTTTTCACCGCCGTTTATTAAAATAAATGTGGGGAAAGTTACTTTTCTAAATAGTGAATTTCAAGGTTGGGAAATGGCTGGGTTGTTTGATATAATCAATGTTCTTGTAATTATCACAAGAAATTAATCCAGTATTTAAAAGAAACATTTATTTAAAAAAATGGAAATCTGACTCCGTGACAGGAGCATAAGCTCACAAAACTCTGTACTTGCATACCAGTGTTTAATTGAAGGAAATGAAATATATATTTTCATATTTAAGGGAAATATATTGAAATTTTCCAGAATTACTACTTTTGAAACTTCTTCAAGTGCTTGAAGTGTCTTGGAGACCCAAACAAGCACTATAGGAAACCAAAACATCATCATTCTTTTTCATAATAATGCTCATATTTAATTCATTCCAATATTTCACAATTACTTAATTAACTATCCATCTTGTTCACTATTTTTTACACTTTGAAACCCGCATGAAAAACCATTTCTGTGTCGACACCCTACGGTTTGCAGAAGTCTCCTCGGATGGACCACAGACACAGACAGACAATGGGTGATGGAAGGAGGGGTGGATGGTTGGACACATGGACGGTACACAACACACAACGCTGGGTGACCAACAAAGACATGCATCAACCTACCCTGCGTGAAACAAGGCAAAACCAAATAAATGCATGCATATTCAGACGGGGTGAAATGTACGGGGACATTCTAGTGGACTCTTACCAGTTCGGTGCTTCTTTTCCTTTCCTGGTTTGGTCACGGCCAAGTACACGGGCGTCTGCTTTGGCGGGATGGTAAGTTTGTCAACGTGTTTTCTCCATTGCGTCTGAAAGTACTCGTCCTTCTGCTTCTCCCCTTTCTTCTTCTCTTGAATCTGCATCTCCTGGAATAAAACACAAACCTACAGTTAAGACTTTAGCGGTTTGTTTAGTGGTATTCTATGCAATATTTTAAAGTTCAAATACAAACAAATTCTATGTTTTCTTACCCTGTACTCTTTGGATAATCGTTTCATTTTTTTGTTGAGTAAGAAGTAGACCGCTAGCGTGTGACAAGCCTTGTTTGTGAGCACGGCACTCAGGACTTCACTATGTTTGTAGCTCATCTTCTCCGTCATGTGTATCAAAACTGTGTGGTTTATTTCCTCTATGTGAATTCTGTGGAAGGCAAGAAAGGTTCCAAGATCATTATGAGGTCATTATTTAGTCTATACTTTGAAATGAATTCTTCTGAACAAAACATGCAATTTAAATGGTTGCGCACCTATTGAGGTATGGGGCGCCGGTGTTCTTGTTGGCCAGCTGTAGCCACGAGTCTGCCATGACCTGGTGAATGTTGGGACGCTTGTTTGGATCGGGTTCCAAGAGTTTCTTCAAAAGACAAATGGCAGCTGAAGGAGAAAAGCACACAATTTATATGTACAACATGTCTAAGGACAGAACATTGAAGACACTCATTGATAGTAGGACAATAAATCTTCTTGCTTAAGTGCCTTGTGAAAAAGATCGTGCGTTGCTTTTTATAGACCTTTCTGTCTTGGCGCGATTCACCACGACTGACATATAGTTGGCACTGGTTTTCTATAACTATGTACGGAGAGGCTAAAGGAGATGACATTTCTGTCATTAGTAAGCACGTGCAAACCTTGTCCCTGCTTTGCATATTGTCAGCGGTATGTTGTCCTCTTGTAACAATGGGCACATGTGGCAGTTAAGCTCTTACGGTTAATCCTTTTGTCATTACTTGTAGTATGTTTTAATAATCTTTTGATTCACTCTTTTTCTTAGTTTTGTCTGTGTTTCATTAGTAAACATCAAAAAGGCAAACAGAGAAATAGTCCCTTTGTGTACTCTGACAAATTTAAGCGTAAAGAAATAGGTTGCATGTATTCACATGTCCTAAGTCTCATGACGATCAAGACACTTCGCTTGAATGTTATGAAACTTCAAAAGAATTGTGAAAACAAATTTAGGTCTCGATGACCTGCTCTGAATCTTTTATCTATCAATGCATTTATAGTTTTCATTGCACAAGAATCTAGCTTTTGTGTTCCATCTCCACTCCTATCAGCCCTGCGGATATTTTCAAATAATTGAGTTGAAGAATGCTCGCTTATATGGTTTGGCAGATGACAAACAAAATGGTATGCGCAGAACACATAATTATAGCTATATAGTTTTATATAAGCAAGTACCAACCTGTGGAGAGTGACGGAGGTAAGGGGTTCATGTCTTTGTCGACCATCTTCTGGTGCAAGGCTCTCAGGCTGAAAGGCTCAACGGTGAATGGGAGGGTTCCAGTCAACATGGCGTACATATTCACCCCACTACAAACACACAACAAATGGAATTATTTCTACTTTCATTCATACATTTTCATATTTTTACATAATATTACTTTAATGATAATGATGCTTTTGTCTCTCAAATAGGTTATATGTAATATTATATGTATATGTATATTCTAACTAGTGCTGTCCAACGATTAAAATATTTAATCGCGATTAATCTCATGAATTTCATAGTTAACTCGCGATTAATCGCAAATTAGTCACACATTTGTGTGCTGTGTGCAATTGCTTTTTTTATTGAAAACAATGTGTAGTGTTATATTACACACTAACATTTGATGCAAAATCATCAATAAATGGATGACAAAATAAATAATTGGTAACAAAAAGCCCCTTCAATGTGTGTGTGTGGGTGTGTGTGTGTATGTGTGGGTATAGACCATAGACTGTATAGAAACATCATGGTGTCATTATGATGATGATAAACAATCTATAAATATTTTGTAAATTTGTTCATGTAAATACTCTATGCTGTTTCTCTGTTTACCTTCGGTATATCTATGACTGTATACTGTTTGCTTGTATTGCCTTTTTTATTAACCCCCCCCCCCCCCCCCCCCCCCCCCCCACATCTCCCACTTCATGCCCCCCCCCCCCCCCCCCCCCTCCCCTCCTATGTGCCCTTCTGGGTTTCTTCTTTGGCCCCCTGTATCTCCAACTACATATTGTTTGTAATCTCTGTCTACAATGTATCTGAACTAGTCCTTTTCTTTGTTTCTATTTTTTTCTGTATATGTGTTTGTCTGCAATAAAAAGTAAAAAAAAAAAAAAAAATCGCGCGATAAAAAAAAATGACGGCGTTAATATTGATTTGCGTTAACGCGTTAATAACGCGCTATTTTGGACAGCCCTAATTCTAACATGTGCCTATTTTATTGTAACATTTTATTAACAGCTCAAACAACTTACATTGACCAGACATCGACTTTAGGTCCGTACTTCTTCCTGGAAAGCAGTTCGGGGGCGGCGTATGCTGGGCTGCCACACTGTGTGCTGAATGGATCCGAGTATCCCAAGATGCCAGCGCAGTTACTGAGGCCAAAGTCTAGGAGGCAGAATCAACAGTTATTCCTTTGTTGCTGGGTAATGGCGGCTGTTCCTGCCAAGACGTTAAACTTGTTGCCCCGTGTCATGGTTAAACACAAACAGAAGCAGATTAGCGCTAAGGTGCGAGCTTCCAGGAGCTAACAAGATGTCTTTAGCACATGCGGCACCTGAGATAATACTTCCAACTACTTTTAACTTCAGTGCCTTCTTTATAGAATTGTAATGCAGCACCTAATATAATACGTCAACTACTTTAACTTCAATTACTTCTTTATAAGAACAAGTTTAATGCAATTTCCCCTATTATTTTCACTGTTACACAAAGTCGGGTGAATAGGCAGCCGTATTACCTATGAGTTTGATGTTGTCCTGCTCGTCCAACAGGAGATTTTCTATTTTCAGATCCCTGTGAAACAAAACAGAATGAGTTCCTCCAGTCAACTATCCACACGGTTAATACTAAGGCACAAAAGAGTATTAAAGTCCTCCTCCCGCCGGTACGTGCCCCCCCCAATATGGGTCACGGTTGCTGAATTTTGGGGCTATTGTGCGTCTGCTATTGCCCCTTAATTCTCCTAAATCCTGTTATACAGTTAACTGCATCGATCATCTCCAGCTCTGTTCCCAGGCTCTTGGGTGTCATGTCTCCCAAACTCTGGCTCAGGACAATTTATAGTGTTCGAAAATAATTAGTTAGCTTTAATGTGAGGATACAAAGCCCGGCTATGTAATAACTACTGTTGCACCATCATGATTATCAAATAGACAATCTGGATTAATGTAATGTGTACAATAAGGACTTAACCCACACTTGGGGAAAGAGGATCATGTCTGAGTCACATATTCAAGATTTAACCCATAAACTTGAATGAGACTGCAAGCACTGAGACAGATACAACTTCTCTAGGGACGCCCCAACTTATGCGTGCTACTTTTCATATGCAAACCCGACAGAACGAGTTGAACTGCTTTCATTCTCACCTGTGCACCACTCCGGCTCTGTGCAAGTGCTCCACGGCTAACACCAACTGTCGGATGTATTTCTGGGTCTCCCTTTCTTCTAGCCGCTTCTTGTCATAGATGCGATTCATGAGGTTTCCACCGGGACACAGCTCCATGACCAAGTAGTAGCTATTTTCGGTCTCCAAGATGTCCAACAGTTGCGTGATGTTTGGGTGCCGGATCATTTGCTGGATGTGCCCCTCTCTGCGAAGATTCTTGGTCACATAAGAGTCCTTTTTGGCCTTCCGCTTGTCAATCACCTTAACTGCCACCTGTGCACAGGAACAATGTTTTATTAGTATTGACACACACTAACACAACACTTATTATTATCAAGACAGATCAAACTCAAGGGACAAAAATGTTTGCATAATTTTACGTACATTTCTAACTATGTGTTCGTATCTGCTAGAATTGGGTATCAAAGTTCTAACTAAAGTTGGTTGGAATTCTGGCCCATTCCTCCTGACAGAACTGGTGTAAATAAGTATTTTTTCCTCAATTTCAATTTTTTTTTTGATACAATGCAGATGTTGGATTCACTTACCAACACCTACATTGAACATATGTGTCCTATACAGTTTAATTAGATATCTACCGTTGGCAAGTTTGATGCGTGTGAAGTCTAATTGAATGTTGCAGTCTTAAGTGTACATTATAGCATTGTATAACAGGTGCTGACTGTCTTCATTGCTGGGTACATAACTCTACACCGGCCTCACCCTTGCAGCTGCTGTCAATCTGGGGCAGCTCTCGTGCTACAAGTCCCTGTAGCAGTTTAGGGGGAGGTGTAGTGGTGAAGAGACCCCATGTGCAACCTTTAGGGGTTACTGAGCCATAACAAAGTGTTGGGCAACGGCAAATGCTACTTCAGTGCCACTGTATCTCACGAAAAGAGCCATATGGAGAGTTTGCCATTTGTTTTCAGGGCTCAAGCTAAACACACACACAAGTGGCAAATGTGGAGCCTACAACCGAGGGTCCAGGAATGTTTTATTACTCAAGCCATGTTCTTATAATGTGCCCTTCTCCTCAATGACAAATCCAATCATCTGTCTTAGGCTAATTACATTCACTAACATCTCCATCTACCTTATTTCATTCCGGTCTCCTTGTATCGCAGTCTAGACCGGGTTCAAGAGCGTGGCTGCCATGCACGACAAATCATTCACAAGGAGAAAGCGGAGGACGGAGAAAGGCATGACCAATGGCACTAATAACCATATCCATTAATGAAATGGCCTGCAGCTTGCCGTAGATGTTTTATCTTTCTTTTGTCCTTCAGCTTTTTTATTATTGTATTTGCCCTCTTTTACCCCCTATAATCGCTCCAAGACTCAAACCTTTTACAGCGAATTAATACTGCTATTTGTATGTGTGCGCTGACCCATTACAATGCAATAATAGGTGGTCTGTGTTTATCCCAAGTGGAGTGAATGGGAAAAAGGGGTGCCAGTTGTATGCATCCTTAGGAGGTGGAGCTCACTGTATTTACTGTAAGCTTGCCTACACAAGGGGGAGGGGGCTACCCTGCGTAGGCAAAGGGGGTTGTTTACCAGGCAGGCACCCCTCAGACATAAAGGGGGGTAGTGGTGCGGGCACATAGGGTGAAAGTGGGTTACAGGCATGAAAAAACACGTGTGACCTCATAAGCCCCCAACCATAGAGACCTCCATACCTTGCTGCCCCCTGCTCTCTCCAGCATCACTTTCTTTCGAGGGAAGCTGAAAAGGACTCCTGAATGCATTGCCCTCTGAATACCCTGCTAAAATAAACTCCATGCCCCCTCCAGCCTGTGCGCTCTCACTTCTCTCTCTCTATTGGACCCCCGTGTCTCAATGAAAGCGAGACAGAGCGTCAACAATGCGTGGATTGCCGTAGGTTTGCATCATCCTCAACCAATAATAGTAATAGAGAGAAAATGATAGGATAGAAGATTTGTGATTATGACTGGATGACATGTCACAATTATTTACAAAATGAATGTAAATATTTGAAGATCTAATTATCTTGCTCTCTGTACACGTAGACAAGGATGAGGGGTGGTGTGTGAAAGACTAGGTGGCCCTCTTCCCATATTCAAATACAGCTCTCCAGCTCAAATGGTGTTTCGAGGAGACAAAGGCAACCAGTGGCCAATGGCGGTCCACTTCAAAGCGCCTGTACCGGGAGAATCGTAATGAGACGTTGGGGCCATTTATCAAACAAAACATTTCATATGCAAGTGGCAGCGGTGCTCTGCTATTGGCTGAGCTGTGCCTCCTCTTCTGTCAGTGAGTGGTGAGCTCATACAAGGGTGAGCTCACCAGCAGCAAACAAAGCATGTTCAATAACAGCTACTGGACACACGCGCAATAAATGCAAGTGAACGCATGTACGATTTTCATGTGAATATTTGCAATTAGACAATATTGGGAAATAGATTTTGATTGCGCAAGATACACAGGGAGTGCCACATTCTGACAATAATCCATTTCCTTCCATTAAAAATGAGTAATAGTGAAATGTGAATAACAAATGATGACTGAAATCAATTTATATTTCGTTTAGTGTAGTGCCATTTATTTACAAAAATAAGGAACTTTTTGAAAATAACTAATAACTAAATATTATGTCATATGTATAATTCACAAGACTAACTGTTTATCGGTAAGGCTTTGTCTCATTATGTTCATTTAAAAAACAACAATAAACCAATGTAAAAAATAATCTGCGTCTTTGACAGTGCCATGTGATAAAAGAAGCAGAGGAGGTAATATGAGGTAATTACACAAGTATTACACATTTTGCTTGTAATACAAATACAACTCACCTTCTCTCCTGTTAAGGCATGCAGACCTTCTCTAACTTTGGCGAACGATCCCTCTCCAAGCTTCCTCCCAATAAGATAGTTCCCGACGCGTTTGGTGTGGTAAAAGTTCTTGAGGATGTCCGCTGCGGGACTGCAGAGCGAGATGGGGATGTCTTCTCCCTCAGCCCCGTGGGCACTGTCGACCACCATGTCGCTGTCAGCTACTGGCATCTCACTTCCCCGTGAAAAAGATCCCGCTCGGGCCGGGGAAAAGACGCCTCTCCTCTCCCTCTCTCCACTAAATGCTTAGTTTGTGTCCAGCAAAGTGCCTTAAGTCCGCTGTGTGCGCGTCTTGTCCTTATTATCAAATTAGGACCGGAGCGCGCCACCTGTTCACCCGAAGCGTCCAACTCAGCAGTTGCCAGAGCTTAATGGTGAGCTTAACTTTGTAATTGACTGAAAATATGTCACAGTCAATCATTAGAAAGTTATTATCTGACGCAAGCTCCTGTGATAATCTACACTAACTACAGCGCGTCCGCTCCAGACGCGCACAGCTCCAGGTTGTTGTGAGCTCGGGCAGCGTGGCTCAGTTTGAAGTGACTTTCCCGGCCATCTGAGGGGGCGTGTCGTGTGGAAGAGGCTGGGGTGAGATGGGTGAAAAACAACACTGCTCCATCCACACCTCCCTCAGAAAGAGGTGCTGTTTAGACCAATCAGGGCGCATCGGGTGGAGCCCAATCCATCCGGTGTTTTGCTCATATTGTACACATTGTACATGTACTGAACAAAGAATGTATGTACTTCACCTGCCAGAACATTATGCCGATCCGTAAAAATGATCATTATCATATTCAACGTACCAGGATCTTATGACGAATTTAGCGCGAGTAAGGCAATGCGTAATGAGCACAAATAGTCCCTCCACGAAAGTTAATTGCTTTTCTACATTAAAATTCACCTCAACTTTGGTGTTGTCAGCTCCATTCAACCATATCGCACACCAATTTATACGAAGTATTCTGCACTATCAGTGCTGCGATTGGACTTGGAGTGCTTCCAAGTTCTCAAATTCACCAGCGCCAGACAAAGAAGCATTTGGACCCTTTACTACCAAGGTGTTCAATGGCCTACTTATCAATGCACTCATGAATCTATGCGTGGACCTGAAAGGTGAAGCACGACCTGGAACATCATTCATCTTTATGTGAAAGCTCTCTATGGCATTATGGTTATTTTTAAAGCACGTCCATTCCGGCAATTCTCCTTTGGTTTAATTATGAATCTATTGGGGACGTGAAAACGTACCTTTGTGTGGACTAACACACAAAGACAATGACATTTTAGCTTATAAGTGTTGTGTATTGTTGCAAACTGCAACTGGGTGTAGGTTTTGTTCACCATGAATATTTTTCCAGGAGAGTCCCAGGGGACAAGTGTCTGATGGACCATGGAGCCGAGGCACCATAATGAGAGAAATGCACCACTCTACTGCCATCTACTGCATGAATTTTTATACACCGTCAATCTGGGGTTGTAACCATTTACTGTACTGTACGGTTGTAATGTGGATGCATTATATTGGGTTGCAAATAACAGTATCTATTAGCCATAACAAAGAAAAAGTGTTTTTCTCACTTTCTTATTCAGTCTGTAGTAAATCTGTAGACGATAAACAGTTTGAACAAATATAATTGAAAAGAGAATATTGATATTATTTGAATGCAGTAAACTCCGATTTAATTATTCTATCAATACACACTACAGTACATGTGTGCTTAATTGGGAAACATTAAGAAAAACATTAAAGGCTTTATTTGTATTTGATCTCAACGCTAGATGGCACTAAATATTACACATTGTACCTTTAAACAAAATGCACAATATGTGTCTGAACCCTGAGTCAATAATCTGCCTTAATTCATATGTATTCAGGACTTATTCCGTCATCATGATGGTCCTCATGTCCTCATTCCAAAGCACAGCAACATTCACAGCACAACTGCGTCACCTAGCGGCCACGTCGAGTTACAACAATATCCAATCCCATCATGCTTTGCTGCAGCGCCGACCCGTGCTGATGCTAGGCTAGCTGTGTTTAGCTGCACGGGGGCGGACATGTTGAACAGACATTACTATCCATAGACTGGGCTTTATACCGTTTTTGGGACTTGGGGGACGGCACTGGGCTTTGAGACATCATGGACGCCGTCAACGCATTTAACCACGAGGTAAGAGCGGCTTTCGGCTCCAGCACAAGCCCGGGCGGAGGTCTGCTGTGCGGCTGCAGGGCTGGTCCACCGGGGCTAAAGCACAGGCCGAACAGGACCATGGCAGGGCACAGAAGTGTCCAAGCGACCCTGCTGACCAGTGTGCAGCCTATAACCTGCCTCTCCTATGCGTACTTGGTGCTTTTCCACAAGCGTCTTCGGGAAAGGAAGCCATCCACGCTAAAGCTAACATTTACTCTTCAATTGTAGTGAAGTAGCTAACCAATGTTGTTGTGGAAGTGTGCCCCACTGTGCTGCTACTCTGGTGGTGATAAACGAGGCAAGTTAGTCCACTATGTACCAGTGCACTGTGTTCCACAGCATCAGGACTCCACACAACGTTAAGGATAACACTTCACTGAGTTTACTCGGTTTGGGTTTCTGATTCTTTTACAGATTATTGCAACCCAATGATCAGAGATTGTGTACATAATAGCTTCTATATATGCCCAAATTTTGATTTGGGGTTGTTTAAAAAAAGATAATATATATATATATATACAAAAGGGCACAATTAAGTTAAGCCTGTCGCATTAAGACATTTCGATGGCATATAATGAAACTACTTTATGCCACTGGGGTACTATTCCAATCCCTGGTTTATCTCAGTAAAACTAAGTTAATACACAGGAAAATTAAGCACAAGAAATGTACACACGATAAATATTGAGCCCCAAAATGCATTGGTTATATGATAAATGCATAGTATGAGACATCGATTCTTACCAAACAAATTGGCGGCTTGAGCTCAGGCAGTGGAATAATCTGTGGCAAACCAAACCAAGGCAATCTGCTGTTGGTGCTGTTCTGGTTGGGGATGGGAAATGTAGTGGAGAGTTTATTTCTAAACAGCTCTCTCAACTCACCCCCTATTGGTCAGTGAGCACTGGTACCTCATGAACATCTTGTTATAGTCTAAATAAGTGCTTTCACTGTCATGAATCAGCAAGCCTTCTCTACAAACCTCAGGTTGTTGTTCTAATGGTTGTTTCAATTTCCAGCAATTGCTCTTTGTAATGAAACTAATTTCAATCCAAGCCACCTCCACAGATTTAAGCTAAATGGAGTCACCTGGTTAAGTCCATGGATTTGTTGTACATCTTAAATTTAGTGGAGGACCATCACTGTCATCAAAAAGTAATGCTTTCATTATTCTATTATCAGTCAGCCATTCTAAAGCCCTGCTCAAATTTTTGTGGGGAATTGATCTGTGAACCAATCCTTGAGAATGCATCCCTGTGAATTGTATCTTTTATAAACTGAGAAATGCTTACATTTCACATGTTTTCAAACCGTTAGACTTGATGTTTTCAATAAATCTAATTCAGCAATGATTGGCTCATCATCCATCCTTTTGACACCGATACCCTGTCTTTTCTCTGATACTGTGTAGTTATTCTCGTTGATGGATTCCAAGCCCCCAATTTCCCGAGCTAAGATGATATCAATCACCAAATCGGCCATCAAAGCTATGAAAGTAAGATTTATTTAATCTTTTTCTTGTATTGTAAAACATTTACAGTGCAGTCTCTCATAAATACTGTCTGTTTTCAGCTGTACAAACATGTGGTCCAAATTGTGGAAAAGTTTATCAAAAAGGTCAGGGCGATTCGATCCAACATGACATTTTTAAATGTACTTTATTACAAAGCTGCATATTGATGATATTTTGTCCTTTCTCCAGTGTAAGTCTGAGTACAAAGTTGCTGGTCTTTATGTGGTAGACTCTATTGTTCGACAGTCTAGACACCAGTTTGGAGCCGATAAGGATGTTTTTGGACCTAGATTTACCAAAAATATTGTTGGAACTTTTGAAAATCTCTGCCTTTGCCCATTAGAAGACAGGGTAAGAAAAAACATGTTCAATATTGAGACCATCTATTATCCCATAAACTAATTCATGTTTTTTTTTTCCAGAGTAAACTAGTGCGTGTTCTTAATCTATGGCAGAAAAACGGTGTGTTCAAAATTGACATAATTCAGCCTCTCTTGGACATGGCAGCAGCTAACACCAGTGCTGCTACCTTCTCGGAGGCAGATGAGTCAGGTTGGTTTTGTTCATTTTATACATTACATGTCAATGTTCTGCTTTTTGTAACATGTTACATTTTTCAGCCTATTCTCCACCATCACCCAAAGACGCTCATCCTGAAGAAGAGGTCCCAAACTCCACCGTGGCCACGACGACTGCTCAGCTCCAAACCTCCAATGCCTTGGCTGCAGTGGCTCAGCTTTTCCAATCCACACAAGGGCAGCAGGTGAGGCTCTCAAATGGCATTCTTCATCAAATTGTTTCATGTTGCTAATATTTTATGGTAGTAACTTGACTTTCTGACATAAAACATGCGTAAGCATTTAATCATATGAAATTTATTTTCTGTATGTGTGTATAGACCTACTCTGACCTAGAGTCAGGTCTGTACAGTCTTTCTGATTTAAAAAATAAAACATAAAATTAAAAGCATTTTTTGTTTTCATTTTAGCTTCAGCAGATGCTCCAGAATTTTCAACCAAAACCTGTAAAAGCAGAGGCCATAATGCAGCCACCACACCCCCTGAGTCAGAGCATCGCCACAAGCCTTGGGCTGGTCCCTCCACACCCCCCTCTGCCCCCAGCACCAGCGCAGCCACCAACGCAGCAGTCAACTGCATTAGCCAAGGTTATCCTCATTTCTAAACCTTTTTCTGGTTTCTAACATTTTATCAATGCCAATATATCCAGTATTTTCTTTGTGGAAGGTTTTCCTTAATGGCAATATTTTTGAACAGTTCTCCTTTCTCCTTGAGATAAATCATTTATTATTTCGATCATAAACAATTGAAAAATGTATTTTTCTTTCATTGTTGGGCTGTCAACAAATATTAAAATATATTAAAATACTTTTTAAAACAACAACAATGTGGGCGCTCTGAGGTGGAGAGGAGCTGTTCAAGATCATAGGATATTTTACTTCGACTCAAAGCTGCCTCACTGCACTTGTCCCACGCAGGAAAAATTAGCTTGTAGCACATTCTGCGCTGATGAGCATAAGTTAAGGTAACTATTTGTCCTTGTAGTGTCATTTGTTCTATACATTTGACCCATCCTGCAATGCCTCTAGGACCTCTGTCAGGAGCAGTGGTCGCTGCTGTGCAGTGCCAAGGGACCCATATATCCCAAATGTTAGAGCAGACTTAATATTTTGACTCCCAAGATTTTGTTTCTGTAGGACACTCATTCATTGTCAAAGTAGATTGGTGAATGAGTCATTAAAAATCATGAAACGCCTCATTATTAAATAATGTAACCAGTTAAAACGGTCGTCTATCTGCTGAGTGTTGCAACATGAAAACCTGTGGCCTATATGTGAACAAAATGCACTTTCTTTCAACATGTTGGAATAAACAACTTTATTTTATTTGATGCAGTTAACTAGAAAACATAAAACTTGTATATGCAGAAATGAGTCATGAGTTTGTTTTTGTTCGCTTTACAATCAACATGTTTTTTTTGTAATGCAGACACTGCTGGATCGCTTTGATTATGACGATGAACCAGATGCTGGTGAAGAAACCAAAAAGGATGAACTGCAACCTTCAATGTAAACATTGTTGTACAATACAATGCCAATAACTGACAATCCTGTTAATTATATGAATCTCTCTGCTATAGTAGTACACAGGCCCCCTCAGCCTTGCCACAGCACACGGAGCACTTTAAACAGATGTTGCAAGATCTTTCACAGGTAGAAACATCATAACCACAGGCAGCACTGCTTTTATCCATATTTGTTAATGTTTTTTTTTTCCTATAGGGTCCACCGCCTCTTAATGGCCAGCCACAAATGTTTGGCTTGCCACCTGGTCAGGTATTTCCTGGAGGAGTTATGATCCCTCCTCCAGGACAGTTTCAGATGGGACAACCTCCTCTAGGCTCAGTGGGGCCCACTGGCTTCCAGGGGGGTTATCCCCCTCAAAATTCAGGCCAACAGCAACAGGTAGATATGATATGGATCATCTGTAATAAATGTTTTGATGTTCAAAAAACAAACTCTTTTTATCTTTTAATTTAAAGGATTTATCAACGGATACAGAGGCGTCCATGAAGGATGGAAAACACCGTCGCAGATCACACTCCGGCTCAAGGTAAGATACTGGTTGTGGCCTTCATATATTTGAAACATTTCTAAGTGTTTATCTGTAGGTCACCAAAGCGGAGGAGGTCGCGGTCAAATTCCCGGTCCCGGCGTTCTCGTCACCGGAGGTCTCGCTCCAGAGAGCGGCGCCATCATTCACCACGCTCACGTTCACAGGAGCGCAGAGAGCGCGACAGGGAGCGCAGGCAGAGGGGGCTCCCTCCTCTGAAGAGTCACACACTGAGTGGTAAGCTGTGCTCTCCTTAAAACTGTGCTGTTTTTCATTAGTGATGAAAAATAATAAGGCAACGCCTTAGGTGCACATTTTATTCCTGATGTAGATCTATGCATAGGAAGTTTGTTTGTAATAATTCAGATATTGTTTATATATATTAACTGAAAACTTTAAAGGAACAGTATTTTTTTATCTGATTTTTCACTGTTCAAGGCTCGGCACAGACTCATGTCTCTAAAGAAATGGATAAAAGCTGTAGATGTGATGCAGAATAGAGGTTTTACTTTCCCTTTTAAAAATGTTTTGTTCAGTTTGCACAACAACACTCTGGGTTGGACAGCTGGATAAAAGAACGCAGCAACAAGATGTGGAATGTTTATTTGAGGAGTTTGGACAGATCGACTCAATTAATGTAAGTTAAAACATTTTATTAGATTCAAAATTGTTCAGCTTTTACAATCATATGCCTTTCCTTGTTTTTAGATGATCCCACCGCGTGGTTGTGCATATATTGTCATGGTGCATAGACAAGATGCATACAGGGCCCTACAAAAGCTTGGCCGAGGGAATTTCAAAGTGAACCAGAAAACCATTAAGGTGAGATTGACGCCAGATTGTTAGTATTTGATTTGCATCAATATTTTATTTTGTGTTTTCTATACAGATTGCGTGGGCATTGAACAAAGGGATTAAAGCTGATTTTAAACAGTATTGGGATGTGGATAATGGGGTCGTATACATACCATGGTCAAAGATGAAAGAGGAAGACCTCAATGAGCTCAAAGATGGGGCCACACTGGATATAGAATCTTTGGCACCAGGTAAAACATTTATAAATTATCTATCAAATAAAATGGATCAGCTGTGTCGTTAATGAGATACCCTTCATGCCATCTTATAGAGTGGAGTTCAGCAAGTAAAACTCTTGAAATCTCAGAAGAAATCACTCACAATGGCCGCACTGAGCCACAGCCAGAAGAATCCCAAGTGGTCCCTCTCCTCACGCCTGCCGCAACCACTGTCCCTCCTGTTCAGGTATTAAGGAAACACAATCTTTGTTCTTGCACCTCTGACTAAAATCAAGAACAAAGTTTGTATGTGCAACCGTTTGGGCATTGTGCATTGATGCTCAAAGTATTGTGCATGATGAAAATCCAAAATCCTCCTAACACCTCCAAAACAACTTGGTGTGTCATTAATTTCAGGTTGGGAGTTGAATTAATAAATGGTCCCCATCAAGCTTTGTTTCAGGCTATATTATTATACGTATACAGTGGGGCAAAACAAGTATTTAGTCAGCTACCAAATGTGCAAGTCCTCCCACTTTTCCAAACGCAAAAATCCTGAAAATCACATCTTTCAACTCTTTCAACTCCCTCCAAAGATTGTAATGGGTGTTGAAATCTGGAGACTGGCTAGGCCAACCCAGGACCTTGAAATGCTTCTTGCTTCATCAAGACTGAGTCCTCAATAGCGATTCATGGTGTGAGCTAGAGGTTAGTCCTAGTCTGGCACTGGTTCAAACCGAGCCTGGCCATAGCCATCCGTACACTCCGCTCAATCATCATTTCACAGTGTGTAACCGTCTGGGTCTGGTCCCTGTGTTAGCGAATACAATCGGTCTTATTTCGACCGGCTACTCAGAGAGCGCGGAAGGCGGGTGTTGTAGGTCGGTGCCGGTGACGTCAAGAGTTTGCGTCGAACGGGCAGGTTGTAGTTTGGCAATGGCGAAGAATGCAATAGTAAAGTAATCCAGTCAGATTCAGATTCATTTTATTAGCCATGTGCAGTATAAAAACTACATTGGAATACATTTGCAAAAAAAGGTACCCTGTGTGCACCGACAGAATAAAAAGCACGATACAATGTAATATAAAATACACATACACTGAATATAAAAGAATAAAAAAACAGCTGACACTGTGGCACAGATCAACAAAACGATACAATGGGTAAAAGCAGGAATTAAAGTGCTCTGTTTAGGCACCTAACAGCCTGTGGAAAGAAGCTGTTAGCATAGCGAGATGTCTTGCATCTCAGCGACCGATATCTTCTACCAGAGGGAAGAAGCTGGAACATGGCATTCCCAGGGTGGCCAGAAGAGTCATTGATGATTTTAAGAGCTTTGTTTAAAAGTCTGGATTTGTAAAGAACCTCCAGAACAGGAAGCTCACAGCCCACGGTCCTCTTAGCAGAGCGGAGCACCTTGTTTAAAGCTCTCTTTTCTTTATCTGTGATGTTTCCAAACCACACAGACACAGAACCAACAAGTAAACTCTCAATGGTGCAGCGATAAAAGTTAAGCAGAATCTTAGAGTTAGTGGTAAATTCTCTAAGTTTCCGCAAAAAGAAGAGCCGCTGACGTACTTTCTTAACAACCCGGTTAGTATTTTTGTCCCATTTCAGGTCGTTAGACAGAGTTAAACCTTGACAGGACCAGTCTGGTTCTATCAATAAATTGAAGCAGGAGCAAGAGGAATGTTTAGCAAATTTAATCGCTGGTCAAGATTGTGGCGCTACTCGCCACTGGCTCCGTTAGTAGCAAAGGAGATGGCTAGGCTAAATGCTAAATGCTAACAACACACTCGGACGCACTACATACGTCACGGTAAACTCAGATCCAATCGTTTCTATCTGCAGAAGGAGTTAACCCCTCCCACCTGTTAAGAGCTCAATGGAGCAAATCCAGACCTTAGTATGAAATGTAATTTGTACTAAGGTGTGGTACAACCAGGCTAGGTCAAACCCATCTTCAGATCTGAGTTGGGCAGGTGCTGCTCTCACATTTACTGACAGTATGCAGCATTGTCGCAGCGGGGAAACGCAGAGAGCTGAAAGCAGAGGACGCTGTTAACCATGTTGATTAGCTGTGTAAATAAATTTAGAGTGTCCATGAGTTGAAATAATTTCCTTTGAAGACAAAAAATGATTCCATTTGCCACCCTCCAACATGCAGGTCTAGCAGTTGTTTTGGACTCTGATTGTGTACAATATAAATCATTCATCCATATATTTACTTTTCCCAAATACCTCTCAGATTGCCCCTGCTCAGCCTACCGCGGTGACAGCAGTTGGTGCGGTCCAGCCCCCTGTGTTCCCAGGTCCCATGGGTGTGCCTTTGCCTTCCTTTCCCCCTGGCATCCCTCCACCTTTCCTCCGACCAGGGTTCAACCCGTTGCATATGCCTCCAGGTACATTCTCTTTTAGGCTTTACATCTCTCACATGATGATTTAATAGAATTGATTGATTTTTATTTTTATCTGTAGGCTTTCTACCCCCTGGTGGAATGCCGCTGGGCCCACCCCCGTCAAAACCAGAGAATCCTCCAGTGGACCCAGCCAGTCTTGGTAACAGACAACATGAAAACATGCGAGATGGACCAATGCTTTTTAACCACTTAGGACCTATGGGTCAGTATTTTATTTGTTTGTTTTCTTTTTAAAGTGAATTTGTTTAACTGTTATTTTGTTCCACTTTTAGGTAATCTTATTATTGGTCATCCTGGTGGTCTAGCTCCAGGTCCTACTGGGATCCCCAGGGGTCCTCCCCCTGCTGGACTCAGTGGTCTGCCCGGAGGGATACCGGGTGGTCCTCCTGTGACCCTCTCAGGGGTTCGTCCTGGTGCTCCTAATGCCGGGTTGCTGGGTGCACTTCCTGTTGGCTTCCATGGGGGCCCTCCCCATGGTCCCATTGGAGCCCCGCCTGGGTCGTTTCCCGGTGCTGCACCGGTAAGACTGTCAGGCCCCAGAGGAGGCCCCCTCAGTAGTCTACCTGGTGCTCCACGCTTTGAGGGTCAACATGTCGGCCCCCCCTTTGGTGCACCACATGGTGGGCCAAGACCCAGTCTGCCCGGCCCTTTGCCTCCTGCAGGATTCCACGGTGGGCCACCTGGAGGACCCCCTAATGAAGGACTTCACGGCGGTTTCCATGGTGGTCTCCATGGTAATGGATTACTCAGAGGACCACCACCTGGTGCTGTACCTGGAAGTTTTCATGGTGGTCTGCATGGAGGTCCACCAAGTGAGGGTCACCCTGGCGCTGCTCCTGGTGGTGGTCTGCTTGGTCCAAGAGGAGCCCCACCCGGTGGTCCTCCTGGAGCCCCGTCCCTTGAGGATCAGCATGTTGGGCCCCCTGTCGGGGGTCTTATTGGTAGTCCACCTGGTGGTCCCAGGTCTGGACCACCTGCAAACATTCATTCAAGTGGGGGTCTTCTTGGTGCCCGGCCAGGACTCATCCCTCTCCAGCGCCCCCCTGGTTTTCCTCCTCCTCAAGGCTCTCACCCCGGGGGTCCTGCGCCTTCTCAAATTATGGATCGAGGACAGCACTCTCAAATGCATCCTGATGATTTGCCAAGCTTCCCTCCACACAATTCAAGGGGTTCTTTCCCTCCTCAGGGCCCACCTTCATTCACCAGACCGGGAGGTCCTCGGGGTGACCGTGGCAGAGAGAGTCCAGAGGAAATGGAAGGACGTCTGTTCAGAGGGGAGCGGCCTGGGTTTATGGACCGTGAACCTGAGAGAGACTGGGACCGGGACAGAGAGCGCGGCTTTGGGGGTGGGAGACGTTCTTTTGGTGAGGGAGGGAGGGGAGGGGACAGAACTGATGGAAGAGACAGATCTTCAGGATGGCAGGACGATGGGAATTTGCGTGGAGGATGGGAGCGAGACCGCGGACGAGATCGAGACCGTGAGCGAGACAGAGACCGAGACAGAGACCGACGGGACTGGAGGGAGAGACGAAACAGTCCAGATAGAGACAGAGGACGGGACACAGGAGAAAAGAGGGAGGCAGGGGACAAGAGGGAGGCTGTGGAGAGGCGAGATAGAGGGAGGGGGGAACGATTGGAGCGAGGCAGCAGAGATCGAGACCGAGGGAGATCAGGTGAGACTCGGGACAGTAAAGAGAGTAGAGAGGGTAGAGAGGGTAAAGAGAGTAGAGAGGGTAAAGAGAGTAGAGAGGGTAAAGAGAGTAGAGAGGGTAAAGAGAGTAGAGAGGGTAAAGAGAGTAGAGAGGGTAGAGAGGGTAAAGAGAGTAGAGAGGGTAGAGAGGGTAAAGAGAGTAGAGAGGGTAGAGAGGGTAAAGAGAGTAGAGAGGGAGATAAGCCAAGGCGCTCTGAGCGGCGGGAACGATCTTCGCGATGGGACAATGATGATCGACTGAATGAGTTGGAAAACTCAGAGCGGTCACGGACCTCAGACAGAGACACAAGCTCTGATCATTCTCATAGGAAAGAAAACTCTGAACCTTCTATCTCAAAAGCTGAAGACTCTAAGACTGAACCCTCGGATCAGAGCCAAACCTCTGGAAAAAAACAGGAAGGCGCTTCACAGACTCCATGAAAACATTTTCAGTTTTTGTCAAATGTTTCAATATCAGACTAACATCTTTCAAATTAGTTTTAAAACGTCACAAACACCATTTTGATTATTAAGTGTCAGATGTAGTGTTCTTTTATGTATATACGAGAGAAAATGTGAGTGCCAGTAATTCACATTTAGGGTTTTAAATTGGTTTTGTTTTTATATTTGACCATGATTTACCCTAAAGAAATCCCTGAACCACATTTGCACTTTTTGGGATTCAAAAATATAATTGCTGATGAGCATTAACAATATGCTCTACAAATCTAATGTGTTAATTGGAACTTTTTTGCCACAAACTGTCAAAGAAGAAATTTGTGTACACTATGTTGAATTTTTGTGGGGTTTTCCTTCGTCAAAATGTCATATCTGATGTTTAAAAATAATTTTCCTAAACCTGAAGTAAAGACATGGGCATGTAACATTGGAAGATTGGAAGATTTTCAGTGAAAAAAGACAAACCTCATAATTTGCAACATGTTTGTAAACAGTTTGAAAAATCGTAAATTAAAAATTCTTTTTTTTATACTTATTCTTCAAAGTAGCTTTTTTTGTGATAGATCTAACTACTGAATAAAATGAAAAGATGTGATTTTACTCTTTCATTTTAACTGTTCATTTTTATGTTCTTAGATGTACATACAAAAGCAAATTTATGTCATAATTCAAGCCTTTAGATTCATTTGGAGTCTGTCAGAATCTACAGACATTCTCTCCTTTTGCTTAAATTTCCACCTGGTATTAGTACATTGTGTTGGTCAATAAGGAACTCCTACATTTAAAGCTACTGTATGTACGTAATTCATGAAATTAGATTGCATTAGATAAAAATGTGTATCCTTTTCCCAAGACACATTCTGCTTATTCTGATCAAGGCTTTTGTGTGGAAATATTCTTGATCACAAGAAACAGAATTGATTGCCAGATTATTCTCGTCAATTTACTTCTCAAGCAAAATATCAATTCAGACGGCAAAATTAGCTTCACATGAGTCTCATTTGAGTTGCCAGTTTCTTTGGTGTAATCCAGCTGGTTTGGTCTCTACTCTGCCTGATCAATTAATGTCTTTATTCAGTTCGTAAGTACCCTGTTTTTAAGATTAAATTGGACTTTAATGCACAGAAAGTCAGAAGAGACACTTTTGTTTATCTGTCCCTATTTGAATTCAATAGCGTATCTAAGGATTTGCTAAAATTGTGAGGGGTGTCGTGAAGTGCTGCTGTACATACTGCTTCTGTCACTGATTATATTAGGATGTAACATTTGATTTCACTTGAACACAATACAATCCCAATTTTGGTTAAAAAAACGTGTTTAGTACTTGTTAAATTGCAAGACTTTGTTCCAGCCATCTTTTTAAATAAACTATTTTTATACCAACTTGTTTTAAAAAAAACTATTTTCCTTGGAGTACCTCAAGGTAACTTTCAAACGTACCGAACTTTCCTAACGTTTGAATTATCACTAGTTTTCATGTGTGTTTACCTCTGCCACAGCATTAAATCCGCTTTTTCAGACAGAAAAGGAAATAATAGATGACTTTCACTCACCCCAAAGAGTCACATGGGTTGAGTGGATAGCACTCCTGCTTCTTAGGAAGTCCTGGGTTCAATTTCACTAGACCTTTCAGAGTGTATTTTGCATGTTCTTCCCGTGTCTTCTGGGTCCTTCAGTTTCCCCTACCACTAAAAACATGCACAATAGGTCAATTTTTGAGCTTGGGTAGTCCTGACCAAGCCGAGCGTCAATATCTGGAGATGGGTTCAAGGGCGCTTTATTGGTTTCATGATGTCTTTTTAAAATAATTGTTTTCTCATGATGACATACATGGATCAAACACATGTCAAACAGCACATGGAACAGTTTCCGCCATGTAAAAAAAAATAAAAAATAAATGCATGCCTACAGAAAGTTTTAAAATCGTAATTATGAGTTTAAAACTCGAAATTTCGTGTTTAAAACTCGAAATTACGAGTTTTGAACTGCGCATGTGCAGGTATGTGTCGTTGTCTGGAACGGTGTCTGGACCAGCTGGACGTGCGGTGAGGTTTGTGATTAGGGAGGCACTGACTTTAACAGTCAGATTTACCATCATTATTCTAATAAAATAGCATTAAATCGTCAATGCAAAAACGTCCACAAACATTATATACTGTAAAGATAAGAGAACCAGCATATTATTAAAAATCCCACAACAAATCTAGATGCTGGTTCTCCGCTCTGCATCAAACCAAGTCTTTGCGAAGCACAGGTGCGAGAGACGGGATGAGGGAGGGAGAGACGCAAGGAGCGAAAATACTTTATAAGCATAGGACAGTGGAAAACAATTATATATTTTGACTATATTAATAATTATTTTTTCAATGATGGCTCTGCCTCCCCTGACTGCACGCCACTGGTCTGGACATCCTTTACCTGCTACAAAGGAGTGAAGATATTGCCTACAGACAATGACCACTGCATCCATGAAGTAGCAGCAATAATGTTGTGGCACAATATTAAACTTTTTGGAATTGCTATCAGTGCATTGAGGAGTATGTGACGTGACGTGAGTGTGTGCGTGCACGCGACCGAAACGTGAGCACGCTCTTGAGTGAGTCAATTCTCGAGGTCGGACATCCGGGAACTTGGACTCCCATAATGCACTGCGCGCGCATAGCAACGCGGCGAAGGGTAAAACAAACCAGCGCCCGCCATTAAGCAACACGAAGCGAAAGACAAACGAGCGTTACAAAACATGCCGAAAAACTGTTGTATTGTTGGTTGTACCAACAACAGCGTAAAAAGGAGTGACCGATCCTTTTACATGATCCCTAGCGAGGCAACTGAGCCAGAAAGGAGAGAGAAATGGCTCCAGCTGGCTTGGAGCTACTCAGTGGGAATCTTTAGATTTTGTCACTTTGCTCCTTGAACAGGAAAGAAGAACAACAACCCCGCACACCCAGATTACACTCCGTCCATTTTCCCGCAAGCAGTGCTGAAGGAATTGACTAAGAGTACCACACTTGATCGCTTCAAGAGAGCACAGAAAAGAAAAGGTAAGTTTGCTACCCACAGTACCCTATCGTTAACAGAAAAAAAACCATCAAACTGTAGTGTGATCAACATGCATCTAGTTTGCTCCTAGATCAATGACCAAAAATTATCTGAATTTGTTTGACACAACACTTGAAATTTAAAACTAACAAATTGCAGTCGATTTTGTTTATGCAGACATATATATAGTAGCAAATTGTGTTTATTGCTCTTATTTTACACTGCAGTAAAACCGTACCTGCAGATAATGAGCTGCATTTCCAATGCACAGTTAAGAATTAAAAGATTCCATATTGCAATGAGGTTGTGTACAACAATTGATACAAGCACCTTGTGAAATAGAATGTTGTCCCCCATATGAAATACATAAATAAAAAATACATGTTGATTTCTAATGACCAATTTGAAAAAGTAGTACTTGGGAGGTTAACTGCTACAAAAATGGTAATCTGTGTAAAAATACAGATTTTGCTAACAAATGTATTTTCCTTGAGAACAAAATTACCTCCTGTATGAAAAAGTCATTGCATCTACAAAGTAACTAGTCAAGCAGATTTTTGTACATAATGCCTAGCCTGGAAATTCTTGGTAAGATGGTATTTATAGTACAAAACTAGTCTACTGGTCGCTGCTTTCTAGTCATAGTCGACTATTATGACTTATCGTCCCAATCCAACTCAATACTAAATATACTGCCGTTTAGTAACACCAGGAAGCCGAGTGAGTGAGTGGTTGGTGGTGGTCGGAGGGGCCGATGGCGCAGACTGGTCGCCTCGCTTCAGTCAGTCTACCCCAGGGCAGCTGTGGCTATAATAGTTGCTTACCACCACCAAGTATGGAGTGAATGAATAGTGCAATGTTAAGCGTCTTTGAGTGTCCAGAAAAGCACTACATAAAACTGATGCATTATTATTATTATTATAAATATGAGGCCATGACTTAAAATTTCTGTGATCATTTGCAAAATATATACCTTTTATCTATTTTTTTCAGCACCATCCACTACTCTAGTATCACGAAAGGAAAGGAAGGTGAAGAAGCAACTGGAATTTGAGGAGACAAGTGTCCCAGAAGAGTTGCAACAAGAAGTGTCAACACTCTGCATGGAAATGCAAGACCTGCAGCAGACGGAATTAGGCATTGACAAAATCAGCAATGATTCGGTCTCCACCATCATAATACTAAATACACCTGAAACAAAAGAAAATGAAGAAAGGGAAATAATTTTATTTTTATACATTAACATATCACATCTAGGAGAGTGACAATTGACCAGAGCAAAAACACTGACAAATTGCAAGTAAATGATACAAATGTTTTCATGTGTCAATCTTCACGTCTTTTAGTATTTCTACTTATACAATGTCTAATAAACTATTTCTCATTAGAAATGTTAAAGTCTTGCTGTTGTCGTTAGACACTACATATATAATATAATAAAATGTAATCTGATGACTGGTTATTGCAAAAAATAACCGGTCATAAAAAGTGTGAATAGAGGGTATGCCATTTTACTTTAAAATTTAAATAGAAATGTAATCTCAAATGAATGGACACATTGAGGGGCAAATCAAAGAATAACAAAATAATACCAATGCCATGCCACTGTTTTCTGTTGCTATGTTATGACATCGCTATGCATAATGGTCGGCAGCTCTACACCGATAAGCAACAATGAAATGCACTAGTTGTGTGGGGAATAAGTGGAATTTCTGCAGTTAGCCTTTTTTGGCTTTTGAAAAAAACTGTGTCCCTCACTTACACTGTACAAGCTGTGCCACTGACAGACTGAGCTCATTACAGCCACATTGTAACAGAATGCTTTTGAATGTCATAACATAGTTAATGTTATCGATGCTTGATGGATATTTAAATATTACTACAAGTGTAGGACACATGGTATGTACACATGGTGTTCATACCAGGGGACTTGATGAGGTAATTGTATATGTCTGGATACTCGAGCCTGGGCCATGCCTTTGGGTTGTTTTCCCAGGACTCTGCTGGATGCCGATAGGGACAAGATTGTAAACCTACAAGCGACAGCTTTCTGTGGTACCTTAGCCTGGCCTTTGCCATCCGTAAACTCCGGTCAAATCTTTTTTTCCCGGGATGTACCCTCTGTACGAAACAAGTACGAGGGTATGGTAAAACCAGGCTAGTGGTACCTGGTCAATGCAGGCGCTAGGAGACTGTCAATATAGAGATATCTCACGTGACGTCACGATGCCTCGAACTCGCGGGGCATCCGCCATACTGGAGGACAAGCAAACGCTGTATGATAGTGGCGTGCACCCGGGACCGCATACACATGTTCTAAATGTTTGCCGTTTTTGGCTGCAGCAAAAGGAGAGACAGGGAAAATAAGTTGTGTTACCGACTGCCAGCCGTCCTTACTTCACACGGCTCAAAAACAGAAGAAATCTCAAAGAAACGAGAGAGAAATGGCACAACCATAAGCAACAACAAAAAACTAATAGCCCCCAGAGCGCCCGAATATGCTCGGATCATTTCATTTCTGCTAAGTGAAATCAATTTGATGGCGGATTTAGTGTTATTCCGAAACAAACAGAAGTTTAAGGATAAAACATATCTGTCTGACTGCAACGTGGGGTTGCTCCGTAGACTGTAGCTTAGCTTGTAGCATAGCTGTTATATATTTGGTCTCACACAGGACCTCACCCGGTTCACAGGGTATCTGACTTACCGAAGGCCAGCAGACATGTGAACGACTGAGCCGTGCTCCAGGGTGCCCCGTACTAGTATTTATTAATAAAATATACGGCTCCTCACAGTAGACGCAGAAAGCTCCATTGATTTGAATGTAATCTCATTATTTCCACTGCAGTGTAGCCACACATAGATCAATGGTGTAACAATAAACACATTAAATGTTAATCGGAGAATACATTATACATATACATTCTTAATACACGTGCACAGAGGTTTTCAGAATTTTCTGTTCACGTTTTTATGAAAAAACACTGTTTTAATGCGACAATATGCGACCGCGGTAAACCTGGATGTAACATAAACATTAATAATACATTTTAGGACGCATTTCCAGAGGATCTGATTCATGAATTTAGGTTGAGTATATATTTGGGTCACTAACTGCTGAAGTTTCAAATTCTCTGTTCAGTTTTCATGTAGTTCGAGAGAGTTCTAGTTTTGAACGTCCAGTTATAGATAGCTAGCAGGGCTGTTACTCGCCGTGGTTGTCTTCCAGTATGGCTGCCGTGGCTGCTAGTCACGTGACCGTAGGATCCCTCTATACTGATATGACATGCTGCAATAGAAGAAGAAGATCTGTATTCATATAGTGCCTTTCACAGACATGTAGCTAGTCACAAAGCGCTTTACATGAGTGTTTAATCTCACATGTATGGAGTGAATGTAAACTAAAACTGGCGATTATAAGTGTAAAACTACAACTGAAAAAGGTGGTCCTGTTGTGGCTTAAGGTGCAAGAACAAGAGGAATGACATTTGCGTTAATAAAATAAGGTTTATCTGATATTTCCAACAACAGTTAGACATTTCTTTATTGTTACTATGACAACAGCTACAATGGAAATAGATAGGAATTTAGATTCCTGCCTCCAGCTAAGCAAGCCCTGAATGTTTACACCACCAACATACATTCGCATACACAGATATCATTCATCAATAATTCAAAGTTGTCCGTTAGTATCCATAACTGACATAATCCACGGCAAAACATATGTAAATAGATACCTTTTGGATTCGCCTTCGGTTTGTTTTACCCTTCAAACATGGCGGCGGTTGGTTGCTACGCAGGTCACATGATTCGTGACGTAACGCCGACCTCGAGAATGCGCAATAGATCCATGGTCAATGCACTGATCGCAATTCCAAAAGTCACGGCCCGCGACTGTGGTTCTCCTGCCGCTGTCTGCGGGCCTCCCTCACTGTCCTGTAATCGCGAACGGTCTCTCAGTCACAATAATATTCACTGCATTTCTGGTGCATCCATCGATAGCCACCAGTTGATGAGACCACTTCAGCGTTCAGCCGCATGTGTTTTATTATCAAGCTTCCACAGTCCGTTCAGGAGAAATTAAATAGAGGCTCCTAGAGCAGATTCTAATCATAAACGGAGAGACGTTCGCATTTTAACGCCATTACTGCCCCAACATTATTGCTGCTACTTCATGGATTCAGTGGTCACTGTAGGCAATATCTTCACATAACCTGCAGGTAAATGATGTCCAGACACCGTTCCAGACAACAACACATACGGGGCAGCAACTGCAGATGCGCAGTTTAAAACTCGTAATTATTTTTTTGACTTTTAAACTCAAAATTATGATTTTCTGTTGGCCATTTTTTTTTTACATGGCGGAAACGGACTTCCATAAAAAAAAAGCACTGCTAGAACTTGAAAACTACTAGAACTACAACTCCATATGTACCAGCACCTATGGTCCAAACATTGACTGGTCCAAAGCGGTTAAAGTCCCATTTTCATGGTGCTGCCATAGAAAGTTGGTTAGCAATCAACTGAAAATGGCGGCATTTGAATTTTTACATTCAAATGAATGGAGCTAAAGAAATAATTTCATGAAATTAATTACCTAACGCTAAAAATACATAGGATCAAAACGAAACAAAAGCTGAGTAATTACACTTCTTATGGCTCTGGGAGTTCTAGTGTTGATACAAAATATATTATAATCACATAATTCAATTGCTTTAAAAACACAATACTACGTCACGATGATAGACTGTTGTTGTGCAACCAGAAGCACAGGGCTGTATCCTCTCCTCTGATTGGCTGCTGGTATGTCCTCCCGCCGCTCAGGGCTTAGATAACTGCGCTCTCGTCGTGCACTTCTGAGCAGGTTGTGTGCTGTGTTTGACGTCTTGTGTCAAGTGTAAAGCTGCAAAAATGGTCCTTAAAGCAGTTTGTGTTTTGAAAGGAGCTGGTGACACGAGCGGCACTGTTCATTTTACGCAGGAGGTGAGTGAAGCATGACTAATTCAAAGTTAAATGACTAAAGTGTGTATGCTAGCTTAGCCAACACCTCCATTCAGACAAACACATAAGCTACGCTGTGTCCGTGCATCTGCGATTTATGTGTTTAAACTGCCTGCGTTTTGAGAACACTCGTCTACATGCGTATGGTTCGATAGCAATAACGTAACGAAAATGGATTGTAATCGATGGCGTTGCTGCGTTGTTTTTTAATAAACGTTTTTGGCTAGCTAGTCCGTGAGATCATCAGAAAATTTCTTCAGTCAAATGATTTTCTCAAGGTGCGTTAATCACCGCCATTTTTATTTTATTTTTTGCACTCTCTGTCAGATGAATGGGTTGCCTACTGCTCGACCTTTAGTCACTCATGCCTAAAGAATGGGTTAATAAATGACGAGAAATTATTATTGCGAAGTAACGTTTGGGCGGGTCCAATCCGCATGTCTGCATGAATTGGTATTTTTTTCACGATTCTGAGACTCATGAATATAGATCCATGGACTCATGCGAACCGATGGTCAAGCATTTATTCTTGCTGAGTCATTTTCCCCGACAATCCCATTGTGTCCTTAAAGGTGCAGATCATGCTTTCGTTTAATTCAATGTTTTTATTTTTATTTTAAAATGCAAAGTCTTATGGTCTAACTTTTACCTAAATATGTCATTTGAGTGGAATATTACCAGCACTAATCTTTATTACTTTTGAGTATTGTTTGCAGCATATGGCTCTGACGGCTCCTTTGTTTGTCCTTCTGTGTGTAAATAATGGTTTTGTCGTGACAGGGTGATTCAACGCCTGTCCAAATCACTGGAGAAATCAAAGGCCTTACTCCTGGTGAGCATGGCTTCCACGTCCATGCATTTGGTGACAACACAAACGGTCAGGATCTGGTGTTGAAGTTTATGACTTAGAAAAAAAACTAAATAAGCTATTGATTTTTATTATCATTTTTATTTGTTTTACAGGCTGCATCAGTGCTGGTCCTCACTTTAACCCTCACAACAAGACTCATGCTGGTCCCAATGATGCGGACAGGTAATACTAATTCAAGTGCTGTCTGTCCCTGAGTGCTAGAAGCGTTGGTGTTAACAATGTGAGGGGCTGAATAAATTGTAATCTCACATATGATTTACGTATATTTGAACAGCTAATCACAATCTAAATTTTTGGCCTACTGTAAAATTAAAAGTAAGCCTCATTGATGCTAAATTGCATTACTTCATCCATTTGTATGAAATGAAGGAATAAATTAACAAATTAATGACAAGGCACAATATAAATGTTGTCTTAATATTACAATGATATGAATTGTAGCACTCGAGGTTATAATTGTGGGCTGTAATGAATTCTATTACACTAACAGGCATGTGGGAGACCTTGGCAACGTTACTGCAGGAGTTGATAATGTCGCCAAGATCAACATCACAGATAAGGTCATCTCTCTTGCTGGCCCCAATTCTATCATTGGCAGAACTATGGTGGTAAGAATGCCTCTTTATTAAATGCCTTCCTCATGCTTCATATTTCAAAAAATATATAAATACTAAAAATATATATATTGCTGACCTTATATTATCCAAGGAACACAATAATAATTGTGTCCTTGGAAAATAAAGGTCAGAATTATTTATTATGATGCAAGTACTTGAAAACAAAGCAATTCAATACAAAAAAATTGTGTAAAAAGAGATTGCATTCATTGCAACACTATGGGTCTTATATAGGGCCATATTGAAAGCTCAAAAAGAAGTTAAGCGAATAGTTAGTTTTTTATTTACGAATAATGTGTCTTTTCTGCTTAGATACATGAAGGGACTGATGACCTTGGAAAAGGGGGCAACGAGGAAAGCTTAAAAACTGGCAACGCTGGAGCACGTCTGGCCTGTGGAGTCATTGGTATTGCCCAGTAAACGGCCTTCAGCTTCAGCACTGAGCTCTTGTCTATTTGACATTGCTACTTACCAAAAGTTGTGTTCCTGTAAAAATGTTGTTAGGCCTGGTGAGAAGATATGCTGTATGTGTTAAATCATTTGTACATACATTTTTGTGTGTGTGTGTCTAAGGCTTTTTGTATTTTAGGCTCCAAAGAAATGTAGTGGAACACAATTTTTACAATCGCTGTTTAATAAATCATTGCTTTAAGTACTATTCAAATCTGTTATTTATTGGGTGGGAAGGGTTTTTGAAATGGGCAATGTCAAAACCTTATGTCTCTGCACTCAATTTACGTGTGACTGTTCTTAACAACTCAATCCATCACTATTTTATTTTGGAACACCCACCTGCCATTTGCATACTGTAGTTTTGAAAGAAGTATCTAAACTACAGTAAAGTACTTGCCTGTTTTGCCATTATTTTATAAACGGATGCCTTTTCTTTTATTCAGTTGTTTTTGAAGTCTTGTTTTTAGAGCGTCTTGTACTTTTACAGTCATGTGTGCAGCACGTTTCTTGACACAAGACTTGCTGCGTCTACTTAAAGCCACCAGTAGATGGCAGAGTCGCTCTGAAGCGCCAAAACGCTTGATTGTGGCAGGTGCGTAGTAAAATGGGGTCGTAAAAAGGTGCTATGGATCGTGGGTGTCATGTAGACGTAGATCCACTTACGGGTAAACTTTGAACAGCAGAAAACGTGTCTTGCTGATTTGCGATACATCGTCGTATGCAGTCAGTCCATGCTTCAGCCTTACAGGTCCTTCTCAAATTAGCATATTGAGAAACTTCATTATTTTCGGTAATGTACGGCTAAACAGACGTTCATATATTTTAGATTCATTACACACAACTTGAGTAGTTCAAGCCTTTTATTGTTTTAATATTGATGATTTTGGCAAAGTAAACCAAAAATCCCTCTCAAACTTTGCATATTTCATCAGACTAATAAAAGAAGTGTTTAACCTTCAAATAATGATGTTCAGTTATGCACTCAATACTTGATCAGGAATCCTTTTGTAGAAATGAATGCTTCAATACGGCGTGGCATGGAGACAATCAACCTTACCTGTGGCACTGCTGAGGTGTTATGGAGCCACAGGATGCTTCGATAGTGGCCTTAAGTTCATCCACAGTGTTGGGTCTGGTGACTTTCCTCTTAACAATATCTCAGATTCTCTATGGGGTTCAGGTCAGAGTTGGCAGGCCAATTGAGTACAGTAATCCCACGGTCAGTAAACCATTTACCAGTGGTTTTGGCACTGTGAGCAGATGCCAGGTTGTGCTGAAAAAGGAATTCTTCATCTCCATAAAGCCTTTCAGCAGATGAAAGCATGAAGTGCTCCCAAATCTCCTGATAGCCAGCTGCATTGACCCTGCCCTTGATAAAACACAGTGGACCACCACCAGCAGCTGACATGACACCCCAGACCATCACTGCCTGTGGGTACTTGACACTTGACTTCAGGCATTTTGGCATTTCCTTCTCCCCAGTCTTCCTCCACACTCTGGCACCTTGATTTCCTCCGAAAAAAGTACTTTGGACCATTGAGCAACAGTGCTGTGCTGCTTCTCTGTAGCCCAGGTCAGGCGCTTCTGCCGCTGTTTCTGGTTATGGTTTCGGTAGCCCATTTCCTGCACACGCCTCTGCAGGATGGCTGTGGATGCTTTTGCTCCAGACTCAGTCCATTGCTTCCGCAAGTCCCTCAAGGTCTGGAATCGGCCCTTCTCCACCATCCTCCTCAAGGTCCGGTCACCTCTTGGGATTGTGCAGCGTTTTCTGCCACACTTTTTCCTTCCCACAGACTTCCCACTGAGGTGCCTTGATACAGCTCTCTGGGAACAGCCTATTAGCTCAGAAATGTCTTTGTGTGTCTTACCCTCTTGCTTGAGGGTGTCAATGATTGCCTTCTGGACAGCAGTCAGGTAGTCTTACCCATGATTGCAGTTTTGAGTAATGAACCAGGCCGGGGTTTTTTAAAAGCCTCAGGAATCTTCTGCAAGTGTTTAGAGTTAATTTGTTGGTTCAGATGATTAGGTTTATGGCTCGTTTAGAGTACCTTTTCATGATATGCTAATTTTCTGAGATAGTGATTTTTGGTTTTTCTTTATTTTTATTGCCAATTTCATCAATATTAAAACAATAAAGGCTTGAACTACTTCATTTGTGTGTAATGAATCCAAAATATATGAAAGTCTAATGTTTATCAGTACATTACAGAAAATAATGAACTTTATCACAATATACAAATTTTTTGAGAAGGACCTGTACTTACTAGTATCTCTTTAGACCTCGACCTCAAAAGAGTTGCATGATGACATTAAGTAAAAGCTCGGTATAATGCAATCAGCTCTATGAACAGTGTTTCTTGTAAAACCCTCCCACAAGAGACCCATAAGATTAACACATTTCACTAGCAGAAAATTATTGTGATGACATATCACGAGATAGGGTATACTACTAGATCACTATTTGCCTCTTTTCTTTTTGATGACCCTGCCTTGATCAGTCCAATTATATTTTACCTTGAGAAAATGTATTTTTGGAATTAAGGATAGTTTTCTTAATCTTAATATGTAACAGCTGTGACTTGCTGTCCCCTGTAGACTGTTTATACTGTATATCATGTAACTACTGCATGGATGACTGAAATAACATGCACTAAAAGCATTTCCCAATTCACTGTGGCAGATGTCCCAATGCTGTGTGTGAAAAATCAGAGTGGCGTTAATGCCACTTTGAAGCAGCCCCTCAGGAAGAAAGGTTTGTACTTTCAATTCATCTATCAAGGATATTCATGTGGCCAGATGTGGTAGTGTATTATGTGCACATCTTCGATGTTGCTCACCAAATGCCCATCTTGACATGTATCGTGTACAATGTGTATGTAGCGTGAAGCTCGGCTGCACCTGTAATGAAACTAGTCAAATGGAAAATTAGAAGTGATTATGTTCATGCACTTGTATACTACTCTTGGAGATGGAAACATCTGTTTTACTGACGGCCGATGCATGACGCAGAAGAAGGAACTGACGGCCGATGCAAGACGCAAGAGAAGGATATAAATAGACATTGAGTGAGTATTATCAATAATGTAAAGTGAAGAGGGATGGTCGGACACAAAGACTGTAACAAGGCCACATAAAACGTACACAAGCAGAGAGAAATATAAGTCCTTTATATTTTTAGTCATACATTTTCAGTCCCTTTTAAATACAGAATATAGTGAACCAGCATAAGGCAATACATAGGCATACTAATTTAAACAAAATACAAACATTTTAGGTAAGACATCCTTACATAAATATACAGTAATATACACATTCTGTGTTACTTTGAACTTTCAGGATTCATTACTTTAGGTAGAGGGTGTTCTTTTCAAAGAGTAAATAGTGGGTATGGTTATCAATGCACAGCTTACTGTTGGTACTGTTGGTGCTGTCTCAGTGTCCTCCCTCACAAATGTGTTGCGTAAGTGTGGAAAAGCGTACTGTGCTGGTATGTTAGCATGTGTACATTATCACGTCTTTTCCACTTGAATTCTGTGCTGCCACAAACCTGTGTGGTTACATTTCTGTTTGGTCCTTCAGACTCCTGCAGTGCAACACAACTCCTCTTAGTCTGGAAAAGGTTTAGCAGCAAAAAAAAAAAAAATCTTTCCAGGCCTACTAGCTTTAGAGGTATGTAATGAAAAGGAATATTTCTTCTGATAGACCACAGCCACATTCATATATACAGTCTATGATTTGGACAAACTAACATCTATGCTGGACCATGACTGCCACCCCTCCAGGACACTCTGGAGAGCAGTTTCAGTGACAGACTTATTCATCCTCGATGTGTGAAGGAGAGGTTCCGCAGGTCCTTCCTGCTCCTGTCAGACTGTACAACAAACAGTGTGGACTAATGAACACTGATGTCCTGATCTCACACGTCATGCATCAGTGCAATATCCTTAACTAATATCAGAATGTGCAATACAGAACCATACGTGTCACTGTATTCTAGAGCCTCATGCTGCTAATGTACAGGTGTAAACATACTGCTGCTAACATGTACAGATGTAAACATATGGCTGCTAACATGTACAGATGTAAACATACTGCTGCTAACATGTACAGATGTAAACATATGGCTGCTAACATGTACAGATGTAAACATACTGCTGCTGACATGTACAGATGTAAACATACTGCTGCTAACATGTACAGATGTAAACATACTGCTGCTGACATGTACAGGTGTAAACATACTGCTGCTAACATGTACAGGTGTAAACATACTGCTGCTAACATGTACAGATGTAAACATACTGCTGCTGACATGTACAGATGTAAACATACTGCTGCTGACATGTACAGATGTAAACATACTGCTGCTAACATGTACAGATGTAAACATACTGCTGCTGACATGTACAGGTGTAAACATACTGCTGCTAACATGTACAGATGTAAACATACTGCTGCTAACATGTACAGATGTAAACATACTGCTGCTAACATGTACAGATGCTAACATACTGCTGCTAATGTACAGGTGTTAACATACTGCTGCTAACATGTACAGGTGTAAACATACTCCTGCTAACATGTACAGGTGTAAACATACTGCTGCTAACATGTACAGATGTAAACATACTGCTGCTAACATGTACAGGTGTAAACATACTGCTGCTAACATGTACAGATGTAAACATACTGCTGCTAACATGTACAGATGTAAACATACTGCTGCTAACATGTACAGATGTAAACATACTGCTGCTAACATGTACAGATGTAAACATACTGCTGCTAACATGTACAGATGTAAACATAAAACTACATTGCTTGCACTATACACAGTACTTTAAACTTGCTTCTTATTTTGCCAACTTCTTTATTATGTTAAAGATAGAGATTTTATACATATTTTTCTTTGAGTTAGAGATTTTACTTTTGTAATTGTATAGTTATAACAATAACTATACTAAGTA